TCCCTGTCCTTTGCAGTCGCACAGAAGCTCTGCCACCTGCTGGGGATGAACGTCATGGAGTTCACCCGCGCCATCCTCACCCCCCGCATCAAAGTGGGCAGGGACTACGTGCAGAAAGCCCAGACCAAAGAACAGGTAAGGCTTAAAAGGGGCTTTAAAGAGCAAGTGAAGCTGATCTCATTAGCTCCTAACAAAGAAAACCGGCATTGGGTGTTTACTGCTCTGCTTAAGCTTTGTTGTCTTTATGAAATGTTCTTGTATGGTAAAAATCAGTGGCAGAATAGAAGAAACCTTACCCTTTCCTTGACTTTCTCCTGATTTCATCCTTTAATGTTGTGACATTATCAAATACTTGGAGACCTTTTGTTTTTATGGAACAGTTTAGAAAGAAATTTTTCTTAACATTGATCAAGCTCCAAATTGTTCCTGCTGCTTGTTTTCATTCCTCCCTGGTATTAGCTCCATCCAGCTCCTTCTTTTACYGAGTTATTTGTGATAACATCCATGTCTGTGTCCTTTTGACGGCTTTTCCAGGGTAAATAAATGTTGCTGTTTGGGTTTGCAGGCGGACTTTGCTGTGGAAGCTTTGGCAAAGGCCACCTACGAGCGCCTCTTCCGCTGGCTCGTCCACCGCATCAACAAAGCCCTGGACAGGACCAAGCGGCAGGGAGCRTCCTTCATTGGAATCCTGGACATTGCTGGATTTGAAATCTTTGAGGTATTTGGAAATATCCCTGGTCAGGCTTTCCTTTTCCCTGTTTTTATGGGATCGGGACACACTGCAGAGCCACTGAAAGCAGTGTGTTCTGAGGTTACATGAGGGGTTTGTTTGGGGTGYACAGAAGCTTTGACAACCCAAAATTACCATGCCAAAAGTCTTTAATTTAGTCTTTAATCCTTCTTTTATATATGGTGGTTGTTCCTACTATATTTTATCTAATGGAAATTTGTAAAATTATTTTCCAGTTCTCTTTACGTTATATTTGAACTTGCAGAGTTTTGAGAATTTCCTTATAAAGTCAGATTTTTGACTTCCAAATCTGTGATATCTTGTCACTGAGTCATCCTTGCATATTAATGTTATTCTTGTAGCTGAACTCCTTCGAGCAGCTCTGCATTAACTACACCAATGAGAAGCTGCAGCAATTATTCAACCACACCATGTTTATCCTGGAGCAAGAGGAATATCAGCGAGAGGGGATCGAGTGGAATTTCATTGATTTTGGCCTGGATCTGCAGCCTTGCATTGACTTAATTGAAAGACCTGTAAGTTTGCACATGAATAATGCTCAGAGGAGAAGAGCTTGGGCTGTTGAGTGTGTCTTCTATTGCCTGCAAATGAGACATTTCTTGTGGAGCTGTCATTAAAAGGGAATTAACTGGAATGCTGAAGTTCAAATCTAAAATACAGTGTTCTGTTAATAAAAGGMTTTATCCAGAGGGGATTTTGCCCTTATGTCAGTGTAAAACACTGAGCTCAAGATATGAAGATGCTATTTTTATACTTTTTTCCCTGGTAMTAATGAAGTCATTAATCCTGTTACTGACATTAAACTGCCATTGTGGTGTAGGAGCTTTGGGACTCAGGTAGAAAGTTTTTCCAAGCCTTGTGGTAAACTTTCTTCATTTGAAATCAATAGCAAAATTCCTGAAACTTCCTGTGGAGTGGAGTTTTCCCCCAGAAAACTGCCTTGCAAATAGGAAAGCAGGATCTTAAATGTGGTTTTATTCACTGTGGTTTTTAACATCTTCATCTGGCTGCTCAATTTGTGGAAACTGCAGCGGCCTTGAAGGAGCAAGAGGAGCAGAGGGGGAGAGCAGAGATTGTTACTTCTGAAAGTTTGTATTTGTACCTCAGATTGTGTCACCTTTTAAATGAAACCTGGGCCACCTTTGTGAGTGTGTGTCCTGGGTACAGGTGACCTCCTGGTGCTGCTGTGCATCCTGACCAGCACAAAAGTTRCATTCCTGATTTTCCTTGGGAAAARRGAAATCTTGTTTCAATTATCAAAGGGCTGCACTTTGTTGTGTGGAACCTGGAAAGTTCTGCCTCCTTGGAAGGGAAAATCTCCTCCAAAAGCCCCGGGGGACAAGTGGCTGCCCTCCGTGTGCACAGGTTTAGGTGAATATCCTAAAATACACCAAGTTATTTATTAATTTAAAAGCAAACCCCTGTACCCCCRCAGTTGTTCTGTAAATGTGATGCCAGGTAGGAGGTCCATTGAAACATCTCTCTCCAAAAGTGTGAACTTTGCATTCCCTCAGAACTCTTTCAGTGAAATCCTTTCAAAGCAAAGCTTTGGTCAGCTCTGGAGCAGCTCAGTGGTGCCTCCAGAAACATTGGAATGGGTCTGTTTGAACCACCACATCCTTCCTGACCTGCACTCCCCACAGCTTCTTTCAGCTGAAATTAAGTTAGAATCAGTTTGGACTGCCCTTATTGTGATGTTCATTGGCGTGTTGGAAATATGAAACTTTTTATATATATAAACAAAACATGAACACAGATTATCAAACTGTGTTTCAGGCAAATCCTCCTGGTGTGTTGGCATTGCTGGATGAAGAATGCTGGTTCCCCAAAGCTACTGACAAGACATTTGTGGAGAAATTGGTCCAAGAGCAAGGAACTCATTCCAAGTTCCAAAAGCCAAGACAACTAAAGGACAAAGCAGACTTCTGCATCATTCACTATGCAGGGAAGGTAAGGGTTTATTACATTCTTGATTGGAAAGATTGGTTTGAGGGCAGTGCTGTGCTTTCTTTCCAAAGCCTTTATGCAAAAATGCACAAGTTTTGCCTTGGCTGGAGCAGAACCATGCTCATCTAAAGAGGTTTTGTTGGATTTAGGGAATTTCAGGGCCATCTGGGTTGGGAGCAGAGACACCAGCTTATGTTGATACCAGTGAGTTTTGAGCTGCTGAGCTGGGCTTTGTTTGGAAACCACAGGTTTGACTCTTTAAAGATAAGAGCTTTGTTTTCTGTATAGAACCAAGTGTTTATATGTAAATAGGAGAGAGAAATTTAAAAAAATCATGCTGCAGCACATCCTTAATTTACTCTCTAGTAATTTAGATAAAGTAATTGGTGTCTACCCTAGAGCTGGTTTTACATCTTCACAGTGAAACCTTATTTTGGCAATAAGCTGGGCAGCAAATGAGTACCCAGCTATCAGTCAGCAAAAAGGCAGATTRCTGAATTATGGAGAAAACTCCCATTTACTCTTTCAAAAGAATAACAAACTTTTGTGGTACTTGGAACTGTTCTGAGGAGGGTCAGCAAGCAAACTGTGGACATCCAGGATGGGTGTGGACACCCAAGGTTGGGCTCTGAGCTTGGAGATCTTTTCCAACCTTTGTGATTCTGTGATTCTGAGCATTGAGAGCAAGAGGAAGCACCACTGGTGTTTGATGTTGATAAATAGAAACCTAAAGGTGCCTCTCCCCTGAGCTTGTGGCCCTTGGCTGCTCTGCAGGTGGACTACAAGGCAGATGAGTGGTTGATGAAGAACATGGACCCCCTGAACGAYAATGTGGCCACACTCCTGCACCAGTCCTCAGACAAATTTGTGGCTGAGCTCTGGAAGGATGGTAAGAGATCATGCTCTGAGCACAGATTGTTGGTGATTTTACCTTGCTGGATGAGATGTTTGGGGTTTTTTTGGTGCCTGTTCCCTCCTCACCCTCCACTTCTCCATTGTAAATAGCTACAGCATTTTCTCTCTTATTTAGTGCCCAAAGTACACCAGGGAAGCTGAGTTGCCCCTCTGGTCCCTTGCACATKAACCATTTCTGAGTAGCTGCTTCTCATGTTCATTATTGGAACTGATAGCACTTTTTCCTTGTTCCTCTGTCCAGTTTCCTGTAGAACCTTGTCCAAAGCTCTGGGTTGGGACTCTTTGCAGTGAAATTCTGAGTGTGAGCAGCTGCAGTGGCTTTGGCTGCTGCTCAAACATTGTCCCCTATGAGCAGCAGTGCAGGTGTTTCCTGTGCAGTGCTGGGGGTACTCTGGAAATCCACATCTCCTGGATTAATTGCATTAACAGCCATGGCAACGCTGAGATACTGCACATTAAAATCAAGTTTTGTTCCTGTTTTAACTGTACACTKCTGCTCAGCCAGGTTACCTGCACATCACCTGAAATTGTTTATCAGTGCTTTTACCAAAATATTCCTAGAAGCAGAAATAGCCAAATAAATACTTACCTGGGACTTTCACATTTTAGTTTTTAACATCACAGTAATTAATTAGAGTATATTTACTTGTCACAGAATATATCTCCTGTCATTTGTTACATGAGGAGGAAACAAAGCTTGTGGTGTAGAGGGTGCTGGAGGTTAATGCTGTGTTTTCCTCTTGGTGCAGCCACAGAGAGCAGCTTTAATGAATCCATGAAGAACTTTTTGGTTAGGGATCTGCTCCTTTGGAGTCCACTCTCAGAGGCAATAGTGTTTTGGTCCAAATCCTCAAACCCTGCTCCCACAGCCARTTAATGTGCATGGAATATGTTGTGGCCTAACTGCTGTTGTAGCCCAGTGAAGTGTGTTTGCAATTGATGAACCTGTTGTTTTTTACTAACTCAAGTGTCTTGTGTATCTGCTCTTCTGTCTTTCTGTTTCTGCTGTTTCTCTGCCTTAGAGATTCAGAATATTCAGAGAGCCTGTTTCTATGACAATATTACTGGTCTTCATGAGCCACCAGGTGAATGGATATCAAACAGTAGGCCTACTAAAGGCAGGGCTGGTGTACCCACAAGAGAACCATTTTTGCTCGTAGGCTTGCATGAACTCTCATTTCATGCTGAATTTAGGTAAAACCCTAAAAAACCCCCAGCCCCGTGGGGCCCCCAGTGCATTCCTGTCCAGCTGCTGCTGCACACACACAAAGCATCTCCAGTTATGCATTGCAGATGAACAGGTTTGTGGCTTCCTAGTTCCATGAGGAGATGTAGAATTGCCTCTAAGTGACAATTCTGGGAGCTCCAAGCACTGGAGAGAATGCATAAGCTTTGGAACACTATCAAGCTTCTTTCTGCAGTCCAACATTGACAAAACTTTGGGATGTTCTAGGACGTGGCGGTGTGATTTTGGGAGGAGAGCTTGAGAATGTTTTGAAGTATCAGAATGAATACTACAGTTTTCCTGGGGTTAGCAAGTGAAATAAACTTTTCCCAGCCCTGTTGAAATTGTTCTTTTATTTAAAAAGCCTTTCATTTTAATATGCCCCTTTGTAGAAGCTGCAGATTTTTTTGGGGTAGTGGGAAATCAAGAAATGCACTTGGAATGTCTTTGAAGACACCTCCATTATTTATTTCAACCTCCTCATCSTTCTTGGATTCCTCTCCCAAGTTTAGAAACATGTTGATGTGAAGACTTTGGGTTTATCATTCACTATTCTTGATACATCCCATCCCTAAGGAAACCAATGGTGCTCCTAAAGGAATTCCTGGAGGGCTTTGTTTCAGGGGCTTCAGCAGAGGGTGATGGTCCTGCAGTTCCACATTTGCTTTAAACCTGTAGGCAAAGCTAGCATTTAACTCCAATAATCCTGTTTGAAATATAAATCACCCTCTTAGTGCTGGAGCACAGAGGGGAGCAAAGCAAAACTCTGCAAGATCAGATCTGTTTGCTAAATTGTAGAATGTGCCTGGTGAAAAAAGGCTGAGTGGTTTTAGTCCTTATGGGGCCTGGTGGGTGCAGGTTCCCAATACTGACAATCATTTCATCATCTGTAAAAYTGATTCCCTGTAATCTCCATCCCATGTCTGGTTTGGAACTGAATTCTGCTTTAAAAGAAATATTTAGGATATGATCTTATAAACACCTTGCCACCTACTTACTTTCCTAACTTCAGTAAGTTTAACTCTTGTGTTCAAAACCCTGTGGAGGATCTGGGCTCTGCTGTACACACCAGACTTACAACTGATGATTCAAACCTACTGCCCTGTGCCTTTCTGCTTTTAACTTTCCTTCTTTGTTTTGTTGTTTTGTTTTTTTTTAATAGACCTTTGACCTGTTGAGTACAAGGAAGAAATTAAATAGTGTCACTTCTTTCTCAGATAATTCCTGTAGCAAAGCATAATTTGCTCTGCTTTGGTTTAAATGAATTTGAAGATAATGTGACAAAATTGAAGCTGTAGCCTACAAACAATTGCTTGTTTCTGGCTGGCCAGCTTGGATTCCACGGGCAAATCACAAATGTTGGGATTTGCTCAGTCCTAAGAAGCACCAGCTGTAATTATCGAGGTGTTAAGTCACCTTTTGTATTTTTTAGTGAATTGTTTACWTAATTCTTGACATGCACATGGAATCACCTTCAAGCTTATAATGATGGCAGTCGCATTTTGAATTTGTGCTTCTGAAAAGGTCCTTGGGATCCTTACSCAAAATGTTCAATAAAATCAAAGAACAATCTCTTTTGTGATGCTTTATGACAGCTTTGAAGTGCTTTGTGGTGGAGTTTTCCTGGTTTGAAACTTGTCYTTTGGTTAGGGAGCTCTRCAGGTGTATTTAAAAATGGGAAGARCTCTTCCAAATAGAACAGGARTCTGGCAAATACTTTTTCTTCCCCTCTTGCCACTGAAATAACACTGTTTCCAACTCTTATATAAATTTCTATTAAAACATTCATTAAACTCAGGTTTAATCTGTATGACTGTCATAAGCGACTCTTCCTTTTAAGCAAATATGCAGAGATGGGTAATTTCAAATATTCAACCCAGAGATATTTTGCACTGTAAGAACTCAGGTAGAAAGCTGCCTGGAAGCTGGGGTTTACACCTCTATAAAGTTGACTAAAATACCGAAAACAGCTTTCCTGGTCATGTAGAACTGCAAGTAAAGAGCTGGATATCTCAGTCTGTCCCTCCTGAAGCTGCACTCTAGTGCTGGATAATTTTGTGGCTTTGGTCCCCAAGCTTTGCACAGTGTCCCCGGCCCCTGCTGCGTCTGCCCCTGTCGGTGCTGGCATCGCCCGCCAAGCTTGCGCTGCCACAGCCCCGCTGCCCCTCCCTGTGTCACCCCTCAACCCCCTGGTCACTGAGCCCTCCCTCTGTCCCCACCAGTGGATCGCATCGTGGGGCTGGACCAGGTCACGGGCATCACCGAGACAGCCTTTGGCTCTGCCTACAAGACCAAGAAGGGCATGTTCCGCACCGTGGGCCAGCTCTACAAGGAGTCACTGACCAAGCTGATGGCCACGCTCCGCAACACCAACCCCAACTTCGTGCGCTGCATCATCCCCAACCACGAGAAGAGGGTGAGTGCATTCCACTCCTGATCTGCTTTTTATCTGAGCATTCTTCCTCCAGTCACAGTTGGATTGTCACAGCTCTCACGCTGAGCTGTATCACTCAGAATTCCCTGCACATCCCCTCTTTCAGACGGCTTTGTAGAGCAGCCTGAAAAACTGAAACTGTTGTTTTCCACTAATACAATTTTTTTTTAAAATTGTTCTTGTTTTGTTTTGTCCAGGCWGGAAAACTGGACCCACATCTGGTTCTTGATCAGCTCCGGTGCAATGGGGTTTTGGAAGGAATAAGGATCTGTCGGCAAGGATTCCCCAACAGGATAGTGTTCCAGGAATTCAGGCAGAGGTAACAGCAGGAACAGACTTTCGAGTTTTTAGGAGCTAAAGTTCCTTATTAAATGACTAAAGACCCCACACCCCTCTCTCCTCCCCCAACCTAGCTCATAGAAAATCCAAACCTGTATATGAGGCCTTGAACTTCAAGTGTTTAATTACTGCAGTTCATTCTAAACACAGTAGGGAAGGGAAAACAATCTGAAATTGGCTGCTGGAAAAGCCTGGAGAAATTCCCTAAGTGGACACTTGGGCACTATAGCTTATGCTTGAAATTTGTGCTATAAATCATATTACTTATTGTTCAATGTAAAGGGTTTTTTTCATTTACCTTAAAGGTATGAGATCCTCACTCCCAATGCAATTCCCAAAGGTTTCATGGATGGTAAGCAAGCCTGTGAGCGTATGGTAAGTGGTTATAGCTAAATATTGTCAAAACATTGCAAAATTGCCCAAAAAATTATCCTTTTCTTGGTATAACAACAACGGCCTTGCCTGTCTGTTTAGATCAGAGCCTTGGAGYTGGACCCCAACTTGTACAGAATTGGACAGAGCAAGATCTTCTTCCGAGCTGGAGTCTTGGCACACTTGGAAGAAGAGCGGGACCTGAAGATTACAGACATCATCATCTTCTTCCAGGCAGTGTGCAGGGGWTACCTGGCCAGGAAGTGAGTGTGCTCCTGGGACTGGATCTTCTGGCTCTCTCAGGCCTCTCTGTGCATTAAAATTGCTGTTCCAGGGCAGATTTTCTCACTGTGTTGYGTGGTGAACTGTAATTRTATCCTGGGCATTRAGGGAATTTTTYRCACCTTCATTSCTTAACAATATCTCCTKTCCTTGCTCTTGCCTTTGTGGCACACACAGCTCTTTATGGTGGCTGCAAAGGAGATCTCTCCTCCTGTCCCACTGAAGGTTCCTGGAGGTGCTCTGAAAAGCTGCTTTTTAAAAATTAAATTTTGTCTTTTTAAGAAAAATGCCTTTAGAGAGTAAAACCAAACAGCATTTAATTATTGGAAATAGTGAATCCAGCTCTTGCTCTGACTCTTTATATGAGCAAGAACTCAAAAATTCAGTGTAGTTACTGGARCTTGTAAATAAGCCTGTTTATGGTCTGCAAGTGTTGTGGGGTTGGGTAACCTGAAAATTAAATGATGATCAGCTGTATTTATCACACACCTTTTGCTTTGTCTTCAGGGCCTTYGCAAAGAAGCAGCAGCAGCTGAGTGCACTGAAGATCCTGCAGAGGAATTGTGCTGCATATTTGAAATTGAGGCACTGGCAGTGGTGGAGAGTCTTCACCAAGGTTCCTCCTGTTCTTTYCAGTTCTATTTTATTCACCTGTATATAGATGAGGGCAAGGTCTCACTTGTTCACTTCAATTCTTTGTAGGTGAAGCCTCTTCTTCAGGTCACYCGTCAGGAGGAAGAACTTCAAGCCAAGGATGAGGAGCTGATGAAGGTGAAAGAAAAGCAGACAAAAGTGGAGGCAGAACTTGAGGAAATGGAAAGGAAACACCAACAGGTTTGTGTCCAAGATCAGCTTTGGATATGTAGGATGTGAATTGTGCTCTGTCCCATGTGAGGGAGCCAACATGGGGAGGAAAAGAGAATCAGGTGAAAAGAAAAACAGGTGGGCTGGTTCTGACTCAGCTGGAACATGGGATAGGGAGATGCAGCATGAGCTGTTCCCCCAGGGATGTAGACACATGTTAACAAAACTAAACTTTTTTTTGGCCTTTCCTGGTTTACTGGAGAATTCAGTGGCAGTGCCCTGTGCCAGCTGTGGGCAGACAGCTGGGACAGCTCTGCAGGTTTGGTGGCTTTCTGTGATGGCATTAGAGCATTTGTGGATAAGGGAAGAGCAGCTGATGTCCCCTGCCTGAGTGTGCATTTGGCACTATCCCACGTGGCTTCCTGGTCCCTAAACTGAGACATGGGGTTCATGGATGCACCACTCAGGGGATGAGGAGTTGGCTGGATGGGGGCACTCAGGGTGGCACTCAGTGGCTGGCACTGGCCACAAGCCATRTGTCCCAGTCACCCCAAGTGCCCCTGGCACTGCTCTGCCCCTCTGCAGGATGAGTGCATGGAGCAGTCCAGGAAATCCTGCTGCAGCCAAAGCTGTTGTCCTCTGGGCTGCTGCTAAAGCCCCTTCAAGAGTCTTTGGATTGGGATGGGGCTGTGGGGGTCAGGAATTGGAGCAGGACTTGACCTTTAAGTGCCTCTACAGTTGTCACAGGTGTGATCTGTCATGACAGGCTTCCAAGTGTCATTTTTAAAGCTTTACTGCCTTTTGTATTGGCAGGTTCTGGAGGAGAAGAACATCCTTGCAGAGCAGCTCCAGGCTGAGACAGAGCTCTTTGCAGAGGCTGAGGAGATGAGGGCTCGCTTGGCTGCCAAAAAGCAAGAGCTGGAAGAAATTCTCCATGATTTGGAGTCCAGGGTTGAGGAGGAGGAGGAAAGAAACCAAATATTGCAGAATGAGAAGAAGAAAATGCAAGGCCATATCCAGGTATGGTTCTCAGTGATGAGATGGAGGAGGARGATGGGGAAGCTCCCTCAGCATCTCTGCAGTACAGAAAATTTGGGCTCCCGAGTGGAATAAGATGATTTTTTTTTTTTCATTTCTCTCTCTGTGTTCAGTGTGATGAGCTTTGTGTGGTTTCCGGGCATTTAAGGGTGAGGACAGAAAGGGAAGTCAGGATGGCCATGGCCTGTTAGTGTGTGCTGAGAGATGGTTAAAAGCAACAAAGGCTGAGAGGGCAGGAGCCAGGAATGGCTGTAGGGACTGAGACAGACTGAGGGGATGGTGCCACCTGGGAGAGAAATGGTCCTTTGTGACTGAAATCCACTGAGCATCATCAAGAGTATTCCTCATGAGACTTTACTAAAACAGTGTCATTTGYTCCAGGTTACTTGGTTGAGGTTTTCTGTGAAAATCAGATTGTTTAGATGCTTCCTTTTGAATAATGGTGTCCCTGAAAAAGGGAGTAGCTGTCCTCCAAAGATAGTTTTGTCTTTCAAAGTATTAAAAGTTGTTGAAGGAGAAACAAACTCACACAACTCTTGATGCCTTTTCACAAATGTCCATTAATGTGTGGTTGACAATCGTAATTAAACCCACAAATGACTACAAGCACAGAGTATTATTGCTTTTCTAGCTCTTTGTGCCATAACTGAACTGTCACAGTGTGCTGCTGAAATCAGGAATCCTTTCCCAAATCCTGGAATTTTCCCACCAGGTGCCCTGTTTAGGTGCAGTATGCTGGGAAGTCTCAGACATTAAGTCTGATCTGATTTGGTTGTCGWTAATGACAATTTTTTATAGTTAGAATTAGGAAGGTGAAGGACTGTGGAAGTGAGTGTGTGCTCCTAGACCACACATTTCACCCAAAGCTGCAATTCAGAGCATCAAAAATTCCATGTGTATCCCATGGCCCTTGATTTCCTTACCAGATCACTGATCTTGTAATGAATCTGACAAGGAAAACGTGGGTTTAGAGTGTGTTAGGGCCAGAGGCTTTTTGAAATAACACATCTTTGTCCCTGAGTMAAAAAAAATAAATGTTACCTGTACATGGATAACCTGGAAAATGCACAGATGCAGTTGCCTGTCTTCCCAGGACCTGGAGGAGCAGCTCGATGAGGAGGAGGGAGCTCGGCAGAAGCTCCAGCTTGAAAAAGTGACAGCAGAAGCAAAGATCAAGAAGATGGAAGAGGAGATCCTGCTGTTGGAGGACCAAAATTCCAAATTTCTGAAGGTGAGCCCAGTGTGCAGGGTGGAGATGCTGCATGTGAGGAGTGGTGCCAAGAGGCTGCTGTCACATTTTCTGTGACATTGGCAGCTGGACACCTGGAGGTGTGAGCATGGCAAAGCTGAGACACTGGAGGTGAGTTTGGACTGACATTCCAGGGTTTGTCTGGCACTCTTCCCTGTTTGATGGCTCTCCCAAATCTTATAGCTGGAAAATTTGTTTTATAGTTCCATTGTTCTTTGCAAACCGATTTYCAAATGCTGTCCTAAAGCCAAGCATCCTGGGTGCTGAATTCGAGGTATCACTTGGAAAAGAAGTGTTTGTGTTTCCAAACAATTCCAATTGATCTTTAATAGTGACAATCCCTTGAAATGAAATTTGTATTAGGTGTATGTGTGAGACACCCCCATGGGTTTTGTACATTCCTTTATTTGTACATTCCTTTATTTGCATTGCTCAGGGACTCTGGAATTCTGTCTTACAAGTTGTTTTTCCTGCCCTTTCTCCTCCCCAGGAGAAGAAGCTGATGGAGGATCGAATTGCTGAATGCTCTTCTCAGCTGGCTGAAGAAGAAGAAAAAGCCAAAAACTTGGCCAAACTGAAGAACAAGCAGGAAATGATGATCACTGATTTGGAAGGTTGGTYCTGCTGGAATGGCCTGTGAGCAGTTTGGCCATGCTGCCAGRAGGGAAGGGATCCCTGGGGATGGGMTGCAGTGCCTGCTCAGCTTGTGGGGTGTAACCTGAGCTGGGGATACTCCAGAGCTGCCATTTCARCCAATTCCTGAAGGAAATTGTGTCTCTTGCAAGACTTGTTGCATCTGGCTGCTCAGTCTCTCTCCTGTTGAACTGGTCAGGTTTTCATTTTTGAGAATCCATTTCCTTTAGAGGCACACTCAGAAATTCCTGYTGTTCCTCTATCCATCAGCACCCAGGGAAAACATCCTGGCTTCTGGGAAGCTGTTCCACTTTTCTATAACAACAGAGCAATGCATTTCTGTAGGAATGGCAGCAGACACTCTTTAGGCTTCCAGGATTGGTTTTTAATAAGCAAATCTCAATTTTTTTTTCTTAATGTTTTATCTACATTATATTTATATGCATACTTTATTTTCTAGTGCTTTATTTTCATTGAGCAGCCTGGTCTAGTGGAAGGTGCCCTGCCTGAGGCAGGGGGTTGGACTGAGATGAGYTTTAAGGTCCCTTCCAACCAAACCATTCCACAATTCCATCTAAAATGGCTCCATTCCTTTAGCCATTTATTGCTGATTGTTTTGCCAGTGTTGTCACAAGCTAAACCTGCCCCTTTTGCAACCTTTCTTGATTTTGTGGTTTTGTATTTTTTTTTAAATTACTACAGATACTATGCAACCTTAATGAGTTGCCAAGTCAGAGTTGCAAAATAATAGGCAAAGTTGCTCTCTGTGCCCTAATTTGGGAATAATTCTTGCACGTGGTGTGTTGTGGCCTGTCTTGCTGCATATTTTAAGGCTGATGTGCTTCTGGAAGGATATCCAAGTTTTACCTTATCTGTGTAGGAAGGTGCTGAACTAACAGGGGGAGCAGTGATGGATGAAGCTTGTCCTTAACAGTTACATTCACAGACCTTAAGATGGGTCTGAGTAAGTTTTACTCCCTGGAAAATACTGCTGGAGTAGCTGTGGGCTTCAGTCACAGAGCTAAACCTGACAGATGTGTTTGGTTMTGGTGCCATTGCAAGGCTGATGACCTTAGAAGTGGAAATTAAAGCTTATATTTAAGGCATGCAATTTCTTGGCTAGGAAAGCAGAGTGAAATGATATTTACTCTTGGAGATGATTCAAGAAGCCATTAAGGCCTCTCTGCTRGAGTCTTGGCACTGCTAGGCACTGATATTTGGGGGAAAAAATTAACTCAGTTTGCTATGAACTTTCTCAATTACAAAATTGGGTCTTGTGACACTGCTCTAACTGTCACTCACCAGGAACATAATGTAAAAACAGGGAAAAGTGCAATTCCTTTGGAATGTGAAACTGTTTAGAGAAAAGCAGTGTTACTGTAGGTTGTCTGGAAAATCCCAAATAACCCTGGGTGACTCTGAGGTGATTCTTGACTAGGGCTCCCTTTCCATGGGGAAGATCCTGATCCAACAGGAGGCTTAGGAAGGGTGTGAGGGAAATCTCTGCACTGAGGACTCCCAAAGTATTGAACAAGGGTGATAAAAAAATGTAATAACTCCTATCTATGCCAGTTCATTTAGAGTTGTGTTAAAGCTCTGTTCAGCAAAACCTTCTGGGGCTGAGATCTGTTCCACCCCTGCTCATCAGGATCTGCCTTACTCTGCCACCAGAGTCAAGTAAATGTTTGATTGCTGTGGCACTGCTGATGCCATGGYTGTCCCAAAGAATTCCTCAGGGCAGGAGTATCCCAGCTGCCCAAGGAAATTACTGGGAGGAAGCTCTCAGGGTTGCAGAGTTTTGCTGAATATTGATGGGCTATGATTAAGCAGCACAGATACTTGCAAAAATGGTTTATTCACATTTTCTTYAAGCTACACTATTTTCCAGCAGACCTTTTGGAGTATGGCCTAGCCCTTCCAAAGCCATGCAGGCCAGCATTTGTTCCAGCCCAAGTTTATCTTCTTTTTTGAGTGTTGATGTCTGTGATTATCTAGCCTAACTGCTCAAGCTGCTTTGTTACATCCCATTCCTTGTTTTCTACCCAGATATTTCTGTTCTCTCATCTCAAACTATTCTCAATTGTCACAGACTTCCCCTGACTCTCTGACTAAATCATCCAGTTCTCCTTTGCTATTTCATTTTTCTACAGACTGGAGAAAGAATTAAGGTGGCATCAATTAAACTTCCTACCCTTCCTGTCACCCCAAACCTCCTGAGGGTGGCAAGAGAGACAACTCCATCTGAATGTAATTYTTTTCTTCCTTTAGAACGCCTGAAAAAAGAGGAGAAGACCCGTCAGGAGTTGGAAAAAGCAAAAAGAAAACTGGATGGGGAAACAACAGACCTGCAGGACCAAATAGCTGAGCTGCAAGCCCAGATTGAGGAGCTGAARATCCAGCTGGCCAAGAAAGAGGAGGAGCTGCAGGCTGCTCTGGCCAGGTCAGTGTGGGACCAACCTGCTCCCAATCCCAAAYTGAATTTCACCTGGCTGCAGTCAGAGCTGGGAATGCTGGAACAGCTGCCACATCTGGAGCAGCTCTGGCCATCTGTGCTGTGCACAGACACGGTGCATTGAGAGGAGTTCAGTGTTCTCTCAGCATCTTTGCTCTACAAAGCTGCAAACAAAAAGCAGTTTCACATGGTAGAATAGTGTTTGGGCTCTGGGAGCTTTTTTAATCTCCTGAAGTTCAGCCTCAGGAGGGAAAAATGGGTATTTCTCAGTGGGTCTTAAAGTGCTGGGCAGGGGAGATTTCATCTGGCTTTGTGTGATCCTCCTGCAGTCCCGTGTTATGCTGAACACCATCTGTATTTTGAAAGTACAATTTTGCAAGAAGGAATAGAAAATTYTGCAGATGGAATATTTCTGGGGCAGTGTTGAGATCTATAAAATTGGAATACTTTGCTGTAAACTGAAGCTTGATCATTCTGATAGTGCACCTTGGTGKGGTCTTGGGAATAACTGTGGGGTTTTATCTGTGGTATCTKTTACCCATCCCTGGAGGTGKCCAAGGCCRGGTTGGACAGGGCTTGGAGCACCYTGGGATAGTGGGAGGTGTCCCTGCCCATGGCAGGGGGTGGAATTTGATGATTTTGAAGTCCCTTCTACCCCAACCTTTCTATATTTTTTTTTATTCTGGTGGAAAAGTTAAGCTGTTTTTGTAGATAATTTAGGCAGGTGGGTATGAGAGAAGGTGAAATCCCATTAACTGTTTTGGCTCTGTTTGACAGAGGGGATGAAGAAGCAGTTCAGAAGAACAATGCACTGAAAGTGATAAGGGAGCTGCAGGCTCAGATTGCAGAGCTGCAGGAGGATCTGGAGTCCGAGAAGGCCTCACGGAACAAGGCAGAAAAGCAGAAAAGGGATTTGAGTGAAGAGCTGGARGCTTTAAAAACAGAACTGGAAGATACTTTGGATACCACTGCAGCACAGCAAGAGCTGAGGTAGGATCATTGTGCTAGAAGGCACCATTGGAATTCATCTTTCATTTACAGAAGACTAAAATGTGGGTTTTTTGACGACCCTTTGTGCTTCCTCCAGGACAAAGCGGGAGCAGGAGGTGGCTGAGCTGAAGAAGGCAATTGAAGAGGAAACCAAAAACCATGAGGCACAGATCCAGGAGATCAGGCAGAGGCATGCTAGTGCCCTGGAAGAGCTCTCTGAACAGCTTGAACAGGCCAAAAGGGTGAGGAGAAAATGGGTTTTCTGCTTCAGGACTTTCTGTAGGTCCCATAGGTGCTGTGGGCACTTCCATGATACCTGAGTGAAGGTTTTTTATATCCACAGAGCCAAGCTGGCCTCCAAAAGTGCATCACAGTTGCAGCTGAATGAGGTTTATCCTGCTGGTTTGACAATATTGCAACTATGAACAGCACATMTGTGCTGTGTCCTCTGGTCCCCAGCAGCAGAACAGAAGGCACAGGGGACCACATGGCTCCTGTTTTCTTCCAGGAGAATTATTCCAACATTGCCAAAAAAAGAACTCTGTAGTTCTTGAAATTACAGTTGGGGTCATTTATAAATGTGTGTGTGAACAGCTCAGGTCCTGTAGTGATGTTTTTATGTATTGGAAATACCTCACAAATTTCCTTAGTATTTTAAATTCAGTGAGAAACGGAGTAGTTAAACTACAATTTTCACCAGCTTTATTCAACGAAAATCTTCTGCATATCTTCTGCTCCTTATTCAATACTCTCAATAGGAGCATGAAAAGATGGAAAAATATCCTGCAATCTGATACAAAGATCTGTGACAAGGTGGTGTCAGCTCTGGTGATATAGCAAGAATGACACTTAAACATCCCTAATRCCAATTATTATTGCTTTTTAAAGGCTTCTGACAAATGTCAGTGCAGTGCTGAGAATTGCTTTGTTCTGCACTTCCAGCCTGCTCTGCCTACTCAAATCAGGGCAGCTTTGATTCATGTCTTCCCTTTTATTTCTGTGAGATGAGCCATGCTGATCTGTTAATGGGCACATTCCTTCCTCCTTCCAGTGCTCCCAAAACAGTCATTTCCMGTGCTGCCATCCCAGATCTGGGATCTCCTGTGCTCACTGCTACCTGTGGTGGCTGGGAGAGGAACAGCCTGAAATCACCCAGTTTTGATCTGAGAGACACAGAATGTTACAGCAGCACTTCAAACACTCCYTGCTCACGTGCTGCTGAGCTCTTGGCTTCTCTCTGAACGTGCAGACCTGATCTGCAGAATAACTTTYAGCAGAAAATATTCACCTGTATCCCAAGTGTTGAATTTCTTCCCTTTTGTCTTTCCTAGTTCAAAGCAAACCTTGAAAAGAACAAGCAAGGCTTAGAGTCTGACAACAAGGAGCTGGCCTGTGAGGTGAAGGTGCTGCAGCAGGTCAAGGCAGAGTCTGAGCACAAGAGGAAGAAGCTCGATGCTCAGGTGCAGGAGCTGACTGCAAAGGTGTCAGAAGGGGAAAGGCTCAGGGTGGAGCTGGCGGAGAAGGCAAACAAGCTGCAGGTAAGGCCTTGCAAGTCCCAAACTCCTGGAAAACAGGCAAGGAACTCCAAGTTGTAACCATGGGCAGAAATGGCCTGTGGCTGATGTGGGAGGTGACCTCAGCAAGGACTYTCATGGACTTGGGAGGCCTTAAAGTGCCTCATGTGGGGAGARCTGGACTGCAGTGACATCAATCCTGGACATTTTGGGCTGTGTGAGAGCCACAGTGGCCTTCAAGGATGTGGCTTCCATCCCGGAGAGCAAATCCTGAGGGAGCTCTGCATAGTCCAGCTGGAATTCAGGGTTTGRGCTTGACTCTAGAACTGAGTGGATTGGGCTGAGCTTTTCCATAGTCCTGAGCAAAAATTGGTAGTGGCCACAGGTTGCTTTTGTGCTCAAAGCTGGGTGCTTGGCAGGGAGGCACTGCAAGAGCAGGCACACTTTTCTGGGAAATGAAACAAATGGGCAAAATGCAGCCATGGCTGCAATGAGGACTTCAGGGAAATAACTTCAAAAAGGGAATGGCCCACTTCCCTTTGGAGGGACCTCTCAGGCTGTCTCTCATGTATAGAAAAGCTGTGTAGCCCAAAATAATAAGCTGGCACCTGGCAGTGACCTTTTCTCTGACAGGGATGCTTTAAACACACCTGCCACCCTGATAATCCCTGAATTAATGCTTCCATGAAATGCATGGTTTTAGAATTAAAAATAACATTAAAGTGTGAGTACAKGTATCAGAACAAAGTGCTGTACTAAATATCAGAGCTCATAGCATAAGTCTTGTTTTGGTCCTGCACTTCAGCACTGACATACAACTTCAGTTTGGTGGCCAAACTTCAGTATTTTTAGCTGGGATCTTTTGCTGTCTTGCCATACCTGGAATTTGCTGGGGTTTTGTGTTTGCAGTTAGTTGCAGCTCCCAGTGGGGTTTGGGCTTTGCTGTTACCTTTGGCCTCTTGCTTTGCAGAATGAGCTGGACAATGTCTCCAGTCTCCTGGAGGAGGCAGAGAAGAAAGGCATCAAGTTTGCCAAGGATGCAGCCAGTTTGGAATCCCAGCTCCAGGATACACAGGTGTGTGTGCAGCAGAGCTGGGCTCAGCCCTGGAGCTTTGCTCCTCAGGAAATGCTGGCAGAAAATACATTTTCAGTCATGCTTTGGGGTAGAAGCTGAATTTCCTGTTCAGTCCAGTGAAATGGGATGGATTGGGATGGCTCAGTTACACATGGAACCAGTTTTTCATTTTCTGAGCTGCACTACCTGATAGTTGGTTGTTCTCTTTTATATCTTTGTGGGAGATAAGAATCAAATTTAAGAAAACCCTTTTCAGGTAGAATTTTATGTCAATATCCTTGGGATATATGAGGAATAATACCCTGTCTTCCACTGACAGCTTCAAGTTCTAACAGCTGAAGTTCAAACTGTCAAGTTTTAGTTCTTAATAAATTAAGAATTAATTTGATCTTGATAAATCTTATTAGTTCTTAATAAAATGCAGCTTTCTGCAGATGAATTCATCACTGCAATATGTTCTRTTTTTCCTGTATCAAAGTTTTAATGGTGATCACTTAACTCCTTGAATAATGTTAATCACAACTGCAGGAGTTTGTAGGGAGCAGGATGGGGGAGAAGGGGTGGGATGAGGGTTACACCTTTCATGACTTTCTGTTCTGACAGAAGTTTCCACTGCCACATTACAGCTGCCTTTAAAGWGACCTTTGAATTTAGGCAGTGCAGAAAAACCTGAGAGCATTCTGCCATTGCAGGATTTGCTTCTCTGTGTTCCTCCCAGGTAGTTTAAAATAGGTACTCTATGCTTGTGTGAAAAAAGAAAAATACATTTTGAAGGTGACTTCTGTGCTAGTCCCTTGAAAGATGGATCATCTATTAACTTCTAGAACAGACTCTGACATGAATTCCCTGATCAGAAWTATGCTTTGTCAAGGTTTAAGTGTGCCCAGAATGAATGGCCAGTGGCTTTTGGAAAACCCAAATAACAGATATCTTCATAAAGTATGTCCTTGTCCCAAAATCTGAGAGAAAAATAAATGTGGAACTCCACACRTGGAGCTGTGGAGGTTTCAGAGCTCGCTGAGCTCTGCCCATGCCTATTCCAGGAGCTGCTYCAGGAGGAAACCCGCCAGAAGCTCAATCTCAGCAGCAGGATAAGGCAGCTGGAGGAGGAGAAGAACAACCTGCAAGAGCAGCAGGAGGAGGAAGAGGAGGCCAGGAAGAACCTGGAGAAACAGATGCTGGCCTTGCAATCCCAGGTGAGCTCTGGGAGTGGCAGGGTTTGTGCAGAGCCTGCACATCCCAGGAGAGTGAACTGGGGTGGCAAAGCTTTGGGATACACATCATGTAACTGGCACAGGTGCTGAAGCAGGTTTTGGTATAAAATTTCCTGGTTTTCTCCACTACAGTACTGATGTGGACAATGAGCTGTGATGGGCAGAGGTTTGCCCTGCTTGGCACTCTGCAAACTCCCAGGTTTTGTGTCCCCTTAGCCTGCAGAARCATCTATTCCTGGCTCTGCACTTTGCACCTGCATGCCTGTCCTTCCTCTCATGATGCACTAAGAGACTTGATTTTCTTGAATTTCAGCTGGCTGAGGCCAAGAAGAAGGTAGATGATGACTTGGGAACCATTGAAGGCCTGGAGGAGACWAAGAAGAAGCTGTTGAAGGACATGGAGTCCCTGAGCCAGCGCCTGGAGGAGAAGGCCCTGGCTTATGACAAACTGGAGAAGACCAAGAACCGCCTGCAGCAGGAGCTGGATGACCTGATGGTGGATCTGGATCACCAGCGCCAGATTGTCTCCAACCTGGAGAAAAAGCAGAAGAAGTTCGATCAGGTACTCCAGTTTCCTGTCATCTTCATGGGTTTTTGAGGATTTTTAAGCAGCATCTTGTTTTTATTGGTGCTGCAGAAATGAGCCTTGTGTAAAGAAGGGTCTGACTGGTGTGCTGGGGTTATTTATTGATAAATCTCCTTTRTTAGGAGTAACTGGTCCCTCCCAAGTTCCATGAGCCAAGTGCCATCTCTGAGGCTTGTTAGATCAAGTAACCAGCTCTTCATGTACAAAAAGGGAATTATGCTGGAACAAAAACCTAAGAGGTTTATTGTAATCCCTCAAGGTGGGCTAAAAACAGGATCTGAAGAATGAAAAATGGAAATCACACAAAACTCCCTTAGTGTGGATGAGCCTCTTGCTTTCCTCCTCTCATCCCAGAGGAGCTGTAGCTGTTCTGTCGATGGCACTTTGGTCATGAGTGAGGGACCAGCAGCTACTGAAGGCAAATTAAACCTAGAGCATGAACCACTTCCTGCATAAAACACCTGAGGCAGGAAGGACCTGACCATGCAGCTTAAGGGATGCATTCATTGTTTCTTGTGTTCAGATGCTGGCAGAAGAGAAGAACATTTCTGCCAGGTATGCAGAGGAGCGGGATCGTGCTGAGGCAGAGGCGAGGGAGAAGGAAACCAAAGCCCTGTCCCTGGCTCGGGCCCTGGAGGAGGCCCTGGAGGCCAAGGAGGAGTTTGAGAGGCAGAACAAGCAGCTGCGAGCGGATATGGAAGACCTGATGAGCTCCAAAGATGACGTGGGCAAAAATGTGAGTGTGGTTCCACAGCCTGTCAGTGAGAGACTGCATTGTGGGGATCAYAGGGAAACCTCCCTGTGACACAAGGACAGGACTTTCTGAGGCTCACCCAGAGTGCTGGAGCAGTGAATGCCCAGAATTAGGAGTGGTGTTTGTTAACATCAGGCCTCTTCCAAAGCTGTATTCTCACCCCTGCRTGGAGGAGCCCAGGTGTCAGTTTTATACTTTGGATCTGTGGAGATGGGACTGCAGGCAGATGGAACTCCTGGGATAGAGGGGGACAGCCATTCCTCATTTTCATATGCTGGGGGTATTTTTTCATATGCAYGTGAGGTCCAGTGAGGATTTCTGTTACCTTTGGTCAAGCTGGTTGAACCAATGGCAGAGCAGAGCTGTGGCCCTTCAGTGCCCTCCCTCCTGTAGCCAGCTGAGGCATCAGTGAAGGCCCCCTGCCCTCCCTSATGGCCTTGGCTCTGTCCCCGTGGCACAGCCCCCAGCACTGGGACCCCCCAGTGTCACAGGCCCCAGGATCCAGATTTACCTTCTGCCAGCCTGGGTGAGGGGATTGGSTCTGCAATGGGACAGTGTTGGGGTGATGGGGCCTCTGCTGTCCCAGCCCCAGCGTGCAGAAGCAGCCTGGCATTGTCACAGCGCTGGTGGCACCTGCCCTGACTGGAGACCTTGGCCAGCACTGCTGCTGCCCCGTGGCACTGCAGCTCTCCTCTGCCAGGACCTGCACACAGTCAGTGGGGTCTCACAGGGAGATCCAGAGCTGCTGTTCTGATCCCCTGTCCAGCTCAGAGTGCACAGAATGCAGCCACTGCCCKTCCTGCCCTGAGGGAGAGGGTCTGATCTGTGTTTGTGCCTCAGGTCCATGAGCTGGAGAAGTCCAAGAGGACCCTGGAGCAGCAGGTGGAGGAGATGAGGACGCAGCTGGAGGAGCTGGAGGATGAACTGCAGGCCACAGAAGATGCCAAACTGCGTCTGGAGGTGAACATGCAGGCCATGAAAGCCCAGTTTGACAGAGACCTGCAAGCCAGGGATGAACAGAACGAGGAGAAGAAGAGGATGCTGGTGAAACAAGTACGTCTGCTTCACTGGGCTGTGCTCAGGACAGGGGGAGGGGGTTCTGTCAAAATTCTGGGCCCTTGTGCTACCACAAAAATGAACCTTTTTGCTTAAAGATTCCATTCTATGGAAATCCCAAACCCAGAGAATTGTTACCAACCATAGGACAGTTCTAGCTGAGGGTTGGCCACTGTCACCAGTGGCCTCCAGAGCTGCTTCCCGAGGYTTGGCTTTTCTGCTAGGGTGTATTCCAAGGACACGGATATCTCAGTGGCACCTTCAAGCCCATCCTATTTGATGTCCAGGAGCAAATCTGTGGATGCTGAGATAGACTCAAAAGTCAAGTGAGCAGTTTCCTAAAGAAAAATCATGGCAGAGCTTCCAAGTTCACTGGACTTGAGAATTCTAGGAGCACRGAGATCAGAAGAAACTACAAAAATGCCTTTAGAGGTTCATGCTTGTAAAATAAGATGTTTCTAAATTAACATCAAGTGCTGAGCAATAAGCCAGCCAGCATTTCAAGAATTATCACAAGAAAACAAACACTGAGAATCACCAGTATAGAGATACCTTAGGAATAAACCTGGCCTGGAGGATGTAGAWGGTCACTGCAGTGCAAAATTGCTGTTACCTGAGCTGGACAAGAGCTCCTGACCTTGCACAGGGAGGGAGATTTGCTTCAAACTAAAATAGTCCTTCCTGCTGGTAACMTGTGGCATTTCTGCCTCAGTTGGTTTTTGCACATGTTTGGCTCAGTCCATGTTGCTCTGCTGTTCATACACTCTTGTTTTGTTTTGGGAAAAGGAGTTGGTGCTGTATGAATGCCAGTAACAGGCTGCTCAAAGGGAATGGTTTCATTGTTTCCTTGAGACAATGAGGTGATTCTGCTTCTTATTTTCCATCAGAATTGGTGGAATCTGCCCTGGATCCATCCCTGGGGGCGGGTGGGAGTGGTGGAYGGGAGGCTGAGCTGGAAATGTTCCAGATGCTGAGTTCTGTCCTTGGTTTCCCTTTTGCCCCGCGCAGAGATCTGGGATTGGGCCCTGCCATGGGCAGTGCCTGCCCCGTTAGCTGCCATTGCAGAGCTTGTCCCATGGAGCAGTGTTCCCTCTCCCTGGGCAGGCCTTTTGGGGTCCCTGGCTGTGGTGTGGGTGCCCTGCAGGGGCTGATGCTGTCCCTGCCCTGGTGCCCAGGTGCGGGAGCTGGAGGCCGAGCTGGAGGACGAGCGCAAGCAGCGGGCGCTGGCCGTGGCGGCCAAGAAGAAACTGGAGATGGACCTGAAGGACCTGGAGGGGCAGATTGAGGCTGCAAACAAGGCTCGGGATGAAGCCATCAAACAGCTCAGGAAGCTCCAGGTAGGCACAGCTGATCAGGGAACTGCTCCAGGAGGAGAGGAGAACCAGACTCCACGGGCGGGTCTGAGAGAATCCAACCTGGACTTGTGCCCTGCTCACATCTCATCCTTTTATAGRATCACAGAATGGGTTGGGTTGGGAGGAGCCTTTGGGCTCATCTCATTCCAAACCCTCCTGCCACAAAACCACTTTCCTGCCACATCTCTGGCAGCGTCCAAGGCCAGGCTGGATGGGGCTTGGAGCAGCCTGGGATAGTGGAAGGTGTCCTTGCCCATGGCAGGGGTGGCACTGGATGATGATGATGATGATGATGATGATGATGATGATGATGATGATGATGATGATGATGATGATGATGATGATGATGATGATAATGATGATGAAGGTCCCTTCCAGCTCAGGCCATTCTAAGATTCCACTCAGTGATTCTATGGAATGATTGAAGTCTTGGAATGGGATATTTCTGACCAGGCACTGAGGGGTGGAAAGATGGGAAAATGAAAGGTGGAAAGATGGGAAAATGAAATTTTTCTGTGAACAGAAGAAATGCAAGTGCCTCTAAATGCAATGCAGCCACTTTGGAGAAAGGCCTTATCTCGGAAGGGCTGAAATGTTCCAGAGCTAGAATGCACCTTGGGCTGGTCCCTGAGCAGCCTGGCTGTTCCTYACCCTGCTCTCCTGCAGGCTCAGATGAAGGACTACCAGCGGGAGCTGGAGGAGGCCCGAGCGTCCAGGGATGAGATCTTTGCCCAGTCCAAAGAGAGTGAGAAGAAGCTCAAAAGTCTCGAAGCAGAAATACTCCAGCTCCAAGAGGTGAGATGGAAATCCAAGAGATTTGTTTTTCTTCCTAGGGCAAGGCAAAGGTCAGAGAGTAAAAMAAGTAAAAAGCAATATAGTGAATTGAACAGAGAAATGGGAGCCAGGAGAGCTCTGATTCCCTGCTGCAGGTCATCAGTGAGGTTGTCACTGCAGGAATCATTCCAGGAGCCTGGACTTCCTGGGTAGCAGGAAAGCTTTACTGCTGCTTAAACCCATTGGAGGCTTCCCTGCAATGTGCTGAGGGTCTCTGGGAGGTGCCATGCACAGTGTCAGCACTGAAATGGGCTGTGAGGGTTGAGGTATTTCCAGTTCCCTCTCTGGTGCCCCTGAGGAACATCTGTGTGTGGGGAGGTTGGTCCCTCTGCCCCTCAGCCCTTCCTGGCATGTTTGCCCTCAGTGTTGGTAATCTCTGTAAGAGCTCCAGGTGCTGCTGCACCTCTCTGTCTCTGTCCCTGTGCTGCCACAATGTCACACACTGCATAGCGTCCCTGGGCCCCTCCTGTTGGCTTTAGCTGCAGAACAAGGCTCACCACACTTCCTGTGGAGCCTTCACAGAGAACCTGGCGCTGCCTGGAGCTTCTTTAGTTGGACTTTGGTGGCCTTCAGACACCAAAAGTCTGAACTGTGTCACTGTGTCACTGTGGCACTTGTAGTGTGTTTAATTGTCRTTAGCAAATGCTAGAGTGTTTCTGCCACTTAAAAGGGATTTATAACCTGAGGTTCAGTGCTGTGTTTGCTGTTGTGCTAAAGCTTCTTAATTTTTATTCTCTTCTTGTCTTCATGCTGAGAACTCTGTAAGAGCCAAAAACATTTGCTTAATTTAGTGCCTGCTTGATATTGAATGTGTGTATCAGAGCATGTGGCACAGTGGTTTCGCCTGCAGCTGAGGCCTTCGATCTTACTGAGTTTCACAGATACTTTTCTACCCTTGCTTTGTGTGGGGAACACTTTGGGGACAGGGAGAAGTGACTCCATTGCAGTCACAGGGCGYTGAGGGAGTATCCAGCTGATGTGTCCTGCTGACATCCACAGCTCCATTAAAGCCCCCAGGAATATCCCAGTTCACAGCATCTCCCAGCTGTGGGTAGGAGGCTGGATTGTTTGCAGGATTGCAGGATTGCAGGATTCATTCATTCCTGGTGCTGCACTGACCGTTCTCCCCCCGTCAGGAGTTTGCGGCGTCGGAGCGCGCGCGGCGGCACGCGGAGCAGGAGCGGGATGAGCTGGCTGAYGAGATCGCCAACAGCGCCTCGGGAAAGTGAGTGTGGGCTGTGGCCGGGCAGGGACAAGGACAGGGCCAGGGYRGGGTCAGGCTRGAGAGCACAGAAAGGTTCTTCTGTCCYCAGAGGGTGCTGGCACTGCCCAGGCTCCCCAGGGAATGGTCCCGGCCCCGAGGCTGCCAGAGCTCCAGGAGCGTTTGGGCAGCGCTGCCAGGGATGGACAGGGGGGATTGTTGGGGGGTCTGGGCAGGGCTGGGGCGGCACTGGGTGATCCCCGTGGGTACTTTCCAGCTCAGGATATTCCCTGATCCCAAGTAACCCACCCAGGAGCTCTGTTGGCTCTGGACCCCCCTGACCCCTCCCCCTGTGCAGGTCAGCACTGCTGGATGAGAAGCGCCGGCTGGAGGCGCGGATTGCCCAGCTGGAGGAGGAGCTGGAGGAGGAGCAGAGCAACATGGAGCTGCTCAACGAGCGCTTCCGAAAGACCACGCTGCAGGTGAGCCAAGAGCAGCTGGAGCTGGCTTTGGGGTTCCGTGGAGGCTCTGGTGACACTGAGTGACCCCTGTCCCCTCCCTGCCAGGTGGACACACTCAACTCAGAGCTGGCCGGCGAGCGCAGTGCGGCCCAGAAGAGCGAGAAYGCACGGCAGCAGCTGGAGAGGCAGAACAAGGAGCTCAAGGCCAAGCTGCAGGAGCTGGAGGGCTCTGTCAAGTCCAAATTCAAGGCAACAATCTCTACTCTAGAAGCCAAGATTGCACAGCTTGAAGAACAGCTTGAGCAAGAAGCCAAGTAAGGAGGAAAATCTGGTTGCCTGTRTAGATTGAATGGCTGAAAGTTCCATGCTGGAAGTTTCTGAAGGGCTTGGCTTGATTGCCTGGGTACTCCTATTCAGGGGATACTTTAACAAGGCAGCTGTGAAGGAACAGGGAGTTTCAGAATCAATTTGCTTGCTAACAGCTGGATGAGCTCTGAAACATGTTGGTGACCCAGAGCCACAACAAGATGGCTGCAGGAGTTTGGGACAAGGTAGAATGTCCCCTGAGACCCCTGGYTGCTTGGTTGGTGGGACAGTTTGAGTAGAGATGAATCCCATGCTCTCCAGAAGTCTTTCTGCAGTGAATTACCCACCTGTTCTTGCAACCCTTTTCTCAAAATGCACTTTTTTAGCTGGTTCCTCTCCACWTCTGCAGGTGGGGGTTGTCCCACCACCACCTCCGTCCTTCCTGTGCTCTGGGCTCTGCAGCAGGACCGTGCTCCTGGTTAAGCAGCAACTTCAAAGCTGCTCTGTCCAATCTCCTYGTGAAGGCACCCTCTGAGCCCCCTTTCCAGCCTGTCCTAGCTCCCGTGGCCCCAGGGCTAAGGCTCTATGCTCTGGGAGCTGCATTGCTGCATCCCTGCATGCCTGTATCCCTGCGTCCACTCATCCCCACATCCCTGTGTCCACTCACCCCTGCATCCACTCATCCCTGCATTCCTGCACCCTTGCATCCCTGCATTTCTGTATCCTTGCATCTACTCATCCCTGCATCCCTATATCCTACTCATCCCCACATCCCTGCGTCCACTCATCCCTGCATTTCTGCACCCTTGCATCCCTACGTTTCTGTATCCTTGCATCTACTCATCCCTGCATCCCTATATCCCCCTATCCCTGTACTTCTGCACCTCTGTATCCCTGCCTTTCTGTATTCCTGCATCCCCTCATCCCTGCATCCCAGCCAGCCCCCAGTACACCGGCTCAGTTCCACTGCCGGTGTCTGCACATTCAGAGAGCTCTGTACCAGTTTCCCCTTCWGGAGGGACAGATCTGGTGTTCCCAGCTCTCGAGCACGGGGACCAATGCTGGCTTTGGATCCTTGCAGGGAGAGAGCAGCTGCCAACAAACTGGTGCGGCGCACGGAGAAGAAGCTGAAGGAGGTTTTCATGCAGGTGGAAGACGAGCGGCGCCATGCGGATCAGTACAAGGAGCAGGTGGGTGGGGGCTCCTGAAACCTCCGTGGGGTGGGAGGGGCTTATGAAGAGAATTGTAATGGAAATATCTGAGGGAATCTCCTGTGATGGTGAAACCACCAGAGAAGCCCGAGCAGGGATTTTCCTTGTGAGTGTGTGCTCTGCTGGAATGGCTGTCCCCACCTGGTGTTCCCGGAGTTCCTGAGGCTGCAGCCCCAGCCAGGGGGCACAGGGACAGGGGCTGCAGCTGCTGGGGTGATCCCGAGTGCTGGGCTTGSTTGCAGATGGAAAAGGCCAATGCCAGGATGAAGCAGCTCAAGCGGCAGCTGGAGGAGGCGGAGGAGGAGGCCACGCGTGCCAACGCGTCCCGGCGCAAGCTCCAGCGGGAGCTGGACGATGCCACAGAGGCCAACGAGGGGCTGAGCCGGGAGGTCAGCACCCTCAAAAACAGGCTAAGGTCAGTGCCCTGGAGCCCTGGGACTGGGATTGACCTGAGCCCTTCTGAGCCCACAGAGCCYCCATGGTGCACCGTCCCTGGGGAGYGCCCAGCTGGGGAACTGCAGGGCTGAGATTGGGAGTGGGTCASACTGGAGCCTGGGGATGGGTACAAGGGAGTTGCTACATATTCCCCAGGGATATTCCTGACAGCTCTGGAGCTCAAACTCCTCAGAKTTTACAGTGGCAGGGTCCCTGGGTAGCCAGTTCACCCCAGCCACAGGTAAGTGTGACGGGGGAGGTGACTCTATTGTGCTTTTCCGGTGGCTGGTGCTGACCCCGTTTTTCTGGCCCTCACTTCTGGGAATGTCGCAGCAGTTTTCCTTGAGAGCAGGTCTGTTGGATGCAGGTGGGAGTCAACAGGGGTGAGGCTCCTGCAGCCYGTGAGCCATATCGAGGGGCACAGAGGGGCTGGGCCTGGCTGAGCTGAGCTTCCCTGAGCAGCCTTGGCATTTTTAGAGAACCTGCTCTTGTCTGTGCTTGGAGCTCCTGCAGAGACAGCACTTTGGGTGACTGGGGACTTGCAGACCTCAGGTGATGGTGTAAACTGAGCAGGGATCCAGAGTGCCAGAACAGAACAGGGCTCTGGCTCCTTGAGCAGGGAATGGGGTTTGAGATCCCCTGTGGGAACCTTTCCCCCTGGGCAGCCTKGGGCTGAGCTGCCCCATGCCCAGCTGGTTGAGCAGGGAGGGCTGCCAGGGTGACCTCACTGTGACMTTTCAGTACCTGAAGGGACATTGGACAAGGGTCTGGAGTGCCATGACAAGGGGGAATGCTTCCCAGTGCCAGAGGGCAGGGATGGATGGGATATTGGGCAGGAATTGTTCCCTGGGAGGGTGGGCAGGCCCTGGCACAGGGTGCCCAGAGCAGCTGTGGCTGCCCCTGGATCCCKGGCAGTGCCCRAGGCCAGGCTGGACATTGGGGCTGGGAGTGACCTGGGACAGTGGGAGGTGTCCCTGCCTGGCAGGGGTGGCCCTGGATGGGCTTTGGCGTCTCCCCCAGCCCAGCCCAAGCCCTCCCGTGCCCCCGGGCTGGCCGGGCTGTGCAGGACCCTCACCCCGCTGTTGTCCGGTTCGCAGGAGGGGGGGTCCCATCACCTTCTCCTCGAGCCGCTCGGGGCGGCGGCAGCTGCACATCGAGGGCGCCTCGCTGGAGCTGTCGGACGACGACGCCGAGAGCAAAGGCAGCGATGTGAACGAGGCTCCGCCCGCCCCCGCCGAGTAGAGCCCGGCCCCGCCTGCATGCAGAGACCTTTCCAGCCCCGGGCAGGAGCGCGACCGCCCTGCCCTCGGAACTGCCTTGTGGCCGGAAAGCTGCCTTACGACCCTCGGCATGTGCTACAAGGTTCCTTATCATAGGTCAACCATGTCTTAAGGCTCTCCAGCCTCACCACACTGTACCCTGCTTCAGATATAGGTACAACTGCTTTTTTATATATAGTAAACAACCGGGATCGTCTCTGTTCAGTGCATCTCTTCTCCAGATACTCATTGTAAAGCCATTTTCTAAAGCATCATGTGAAGGATGAACCTTTTTTTTATCAATCCAGCAGCGTCATTCCCAGCGGGTGGCTGTGCATGCCTCGTGTCCAGCAGCTCCATCCTTCGGGCTCCGGGCGCGCCGGCCCCACGCTGGGCTCTCGGATCCGTGAAGACCAAACCGCACCCGTTTCTTTCTTTTCTCCCATTGTTGTGATCCGCACATGACCCCTGAGTGAACTGTGAAAAACGGCCTTGGGAAGTGTTAGAGGGAAGTGTAGGGATGAGTGAGTAGTGTCCGTTTTTATCCTGCAGTCCCGTTTGAAGTGTTCTCAGCACCTGCTCCATCCGTTCGTGTCCATGCAGTCCAGGCACACCGAGGTGGGTCCCCGTCCCCTTCACAGCCCTGTGTGCTCAGAGCCCCCGGGATAATGTGAACACCAGTGGGAAATAAACACACAGCACAGGCAAAACTAATTTATTAATGTGAGGCCGAGTCAGGCCGTGGGAGGCTCCGGGACCCCCGCAGCCCCAGGGTCCTGTGGGGCCGGGGCTCGGGGCTCCCGCCCTGGATGGATGGATGTTGCCTGCCTACAGTTAACATGCCAGTGGATGTGAATCCTTTTTTTTTTTGTTGTTGTTTTGTTGTTTTGTTTTTTTTTTTTTTATTTTGAGCAGTATTACAGTGAGTAGTTAGCATTCTTTTTGTTTAAATAGCTGAAAACTGACATTACAGAAAGTGCCTTAGACACTACAGTACTAAGACAACGTTACATATATAATTTGCCTATATAACAATGATTTAATGTATTAATTTTGACTGTGCTTCATATCATGTACCTCTCTAGTCCAAGTGGTATTATTGATATTAGTGACAATGAATCAGTGTTAACTAGGAAACTTCCTCTGCCACATGCTCAAAACCCATGGATTTCCCTTTTTGGTTAAAAGCTTTAACATCTGTCGCAAAGGTTTTGTTGTGTGTGTTTGGATATTTTTAATCAAACTGGCTGTTGACCACCAGGCGTCTGACTGCAAATATCTTGTTTTCTTGTATACCCATATTTCTAGACAATGATTTTTGTAAGACAATAAATTTATTCATTATAGATGCGGCCGCCTGCTCTGTTTACTTACTGGAAGAGCTCTCCCGAGGCTGGCATAGACCTTAATAAACGAGATATGACTGGAAGCTGCCTTTTCCCTTCTTCCTGTTTTGTTTGCTTGCTTTTTTTTTTCCTTTTATTTTGACCTAAATACAGCATCAATGGCTTGGTCCGAGCTGAGCCTTTGCCTTTGAATGCCATTGGCAGGGCCCAGCTGGAGCACAAAGGGAGCTCTGAGCTCTGCTGCTGCCCCTCAGGGCTCTGGCACAGGCACAGCCCCGCTTCAGCAGGGCCCAGGCTCCTGCCTGAGCAGTTGCATCCCGTATTTTGGGGTCCTGGGGTGCAGAACCTGCCCTGGAGCTGCAGATGGGAATCCTGGGGGGGGGAGCTTTTGGCTGAGTCTGGGACCTGGGGGGTGGGGAGGAGGTTAAAAACCTGAGGGAATGAGGACCCTGAGCAGASGGTGGGACTGGGAGGGGTGGGTGCTGCTCCCACCTGTTCCACGGCACCTGTGGGGCCTGGCTTGGGGCTACTGGAGCCCAGGGCTGACCCAAGGCTCYTGGATGGAACCTGGGTCAGTCCTGGGCACTTTTTCCTTCAGTGCTATGGAAAAGAAGAGAGGAGGAAGGGCTCTTCTCTGCCTCTGGCACGGCTGGAGTGGGGCAGCCCTGTCCCTGCCCTGGCACAGAGTCCGGGCGCGGGGTGAGGGGGAGCCGGGACTGTGATGGGGCACGAGGGAGGGAGGGATGGCTGCAGGAGGTGACTCCGCGGGGCTCGGGGGGTGACAGGCTCCGGCCGGGGCTGGCAGCGAGGGCATTCTCGGAGGAGCGGGATGTTCTCCCCGAGGGCATTCCCGGAGGAGCGGGATGTGCTGCTGGGTCATTCCCGGAGGAGCGGGATGTGCTGCTGGGTCATTCCCGGAGGAGCGGGATGTGCTGCTGGGTCATTCCCGGAGGAGCGGGATGTGCTGCCCGGGTCATTCCCGGAGGAGCGGGATGTGCTGCCCGGGTCATTCCCGGAGGAGCGGGATGTGCTGCCCGGGTCATTCCCGGAGGAACGGGATGTGCTGCTGGGTCATTCCCGGAGGAGCGGGATGTGCAGCCCGGGTGTCCGTGCGGGGTCGGGCCCGGGATGGAGCTGAGCCCGGCCAGGGAGGGGCAGCACCGGCACCGCCTCAGCCCAGGGCCGGAGTGTCCCTGGAAGGGCCCCAGCTCAGCTCTCCTGCACGGGAAACTCCTTCCAGCTGCTCCAGGGAGGCAAAAAATCCCCCGRGAAGCAGCTGGAGGCTTCCAACACCTCCCCAGATGCAACACTGTGTGCCCCGATCAGTGCCAGCAGCAGGGGCTGGGACGGTGTTTGCCCCTGTCCCCAAACTGAGTGACATTGCCAAGGGAAGGGGTGTGGGACAATGAGGCAGTGACTCAACCCTGGCCCCTCCCTGGSGCTTGGCAGAAAACCCTGCGGGACAAAGTAAGAGCCACGGCCACTGGTTCTGCAAAATCCACTGATTCCACATTAAAAGAACTTTATTTTTGGAAGATTACTCTCATTTGTTTTCATTCTTTTRAGACCACATCATGTCAGTGGCACCAGGGTGGAACGGTACATCCTATGGAAACATGCCAGAGAGAGGCTGAATAAATAAAGCTACAAAGCCCAAGTTATGTACAAAGACCTCAGGCAAAGGTATTATGTTTACAAATCTATGTACAATAAAACAAATGTAAACAGTCAAATGCAGCAGAGGATGCACAGGAAGGAAGGACCATACAAACCCTAATGGCAAAGGGACAACCCCACCTCCACTGCTGGGCCAGTGGGGTTTTTTTCTCAGCATCTGTAACTCAGCCACCTGGGAGCTGCAGTGYCCTGAACGACGATCGCTGAACCCTCAGCTCCAACCCTGGCTCCATTTGCTGGTTCAGTCTACAAATCCACCGACTCTGAGGCACATGGACAGAGAAACCACACAAATGTGCTGCTTGAAAGACCCACAAGGTACAGTCACCCCAAACTGTCACAGAAGCCCACAGGTGATGCTGGACAACCCAGTCCTACAGCCCAGGGGTGATGGCCAGGGGGGTTTTTGGGGYCAGATGGAGCAGCGGCTTCCTAATGCTGCCATGGAGTCGCTGTGTGAAGGGTGAGGGACGAGGCTGAGCCCAGTGGGGCCAGGGAGCTGTGAGGCAGCCATGGGGCACAGGAGGGCACAGCCCTGGGACAGGGCCCTGCCCACGGGGCCAGCTGGGGGCACAGCCCCGGGCACAGCCCTGCCCACCCCTGCACCAGGGCAGGAGCCTCAGGGAGAACAGCGCAGCCAGGCTCGGCCCTGCCAAGGCCTCTGGGGGGCTGGGATGGTCACCCCAGTGTGCTGTTCACCCCCATCTCCCTCTGTGCCCCACAGGAGCCCAGCCCTGTGTGTGTGTCCAGCGTCCAGCGGGATGGGGCCATCCCAGCTGGGCTCAGCCAGCCCTGCTCCCACTGCTGGGGGTGCAGCGGGCACTGAGCCCGGACCTGGGGCCGGGTCTCAGGTGCCAATGGCCCCAGGACCACCCCAACCTCCCCTGGGGCACCTCCACAGGGTCTGAGAGCAGTGCCTGGGAGGGGACAGGGGAGCCTGGGAGGGAGCAGCCAAGGCTCTGTCACACCTAAATGAGAAGAGAGGGAGGGCCAAGGAGCAGAGCAGGACTCCGTGTGCCCCCAGCACAGCAGGACTCAGTGTCCCCCAAGCAGAGCAGGACTCAGTGTCCCCCAAGCAGAGCAGGACTCGGTGTCCCCCAAGCAGAGCAGGACTCGGTGTCCCTCAGGCAGAGAGGGGGTGGCAGCTCATGGGGCTGGGGCAGAGAACGTCCACTACAGCGACAGCAGAAAACAAACTGTATTGACAGACATGGAGGGCCGTGGGCTCGGGGTCTCCTCTCGGGGCCRTGTTCCCGCAGGGTGGGGACGGGGAGGAATCGGGAGTAGCTCTTCGTGTGCTGGGCTGAGAAAAGCATCCAAGTCCAAAGGCTGCTCCCGCGGGCTCATACGCTCAGTGGGAGCATTCCCGGCGCTGAGGACGGTCGGGAGCCCCCCAGGCCGGGGGGCCCTTGGTCAAAGCCGTTCACTGCCCTGGGAACAAGAGAGAGCCCGTTAGGGGAGGGACAGCCCGGGACAGGGCACTGCTCCCCCCACCCCAGCACCTGGATCCCACTCCTCCTCCTCCTCCTCCTCCTGGTGTCCCTGGGACAGGGCCCCAGCTGTGGCTGCCAGCTCAGTGTCCATCCCCGGGCTGGAGCTGGCACAGCCTGCCCGAGGTGCCCAGCCCAGGAGTGGCTGCAGTGCCTGAGCCTGTGGGGCTCAGCTGGGTCTGTGCAGGGAACAGCCCAGYCTGCCTGGACAGTGAGCTGTGCCTGGGAAAACAGCAGAAAATGCAGGGTGAGGGCTCTGTGACAGGGAGAAAGCCAGCCTGGGCATGGGGGGCTCCAGGGCCACATCCTGCTCACTGCCAGCGCTGCCTCAGGGACACACGTGCCACCAGCTCCCAACCTGGAACCCAGGACAGTGTCCCCAGGGCAGGCCAGGGCGGTTCCACTGAATCCCAGGAGGGGTTGGATTGGAAGGGACCCATCCAGTGCCACCCCTGCCATGGCAGGGACACCTCCTGCTGTCCCAGGTCACTCCCAGCCCCAATGTCCAGCCTGGCCTTGGGCACTGCCAGGGATCCAGGGGCAGCCACAGCTGCTCTGGGCACCCTGTGCCAGGGCCTGCCCACCCTCCCAGGGAACAATTCCTGCCCAATATCCCATCCATCCCTGCCCTCTGGCACTGGGAACCATTCCCCCAAAGCTCCCACATCATTCCCATGCAGCTGCTGCTTACTGCTGACCTTGCACCTCCTGGATCAGGGATGCAGGAACCCCCAGCACAGGCAGGAGGCTGCTGYCAATGCAGGGACAGCCACCAAAGCCTTCCACAACCAACTGCAGGTGAAGAGCTAAAACCTGGGAGAATTCCAATCTTTCCCSGAGCCTGAGAAGGAGTAGGAATGGGATTTTTCTCCCAGGATTTTCCCCCAGAATCCCAACCTTTCCCTTTTAACATTTGCTAGCAAGGCCAGGTTCCCATGGGAACAGSTCCCTGCTGTGCAGGGCTCTGCCATTCCCACTGGCACAGCCTGAAGCGCAGGACAGAGCAGGGATTAGAAATCGCCCTTTTCACATTCTCCTCCTTCAGATGGAAGCTTCAGCTCCCATGTGAGTGTTTCAAGGGCAGGAGCCTCCCTACCTGCACTGAAAGCTCTGGAGAGGCTGGGGGACAGCCCCATCTGGGTTTGGATGAAGAGATACGAAGCCACCCTGATCCCAGTGAGTGYTCTTCTGTCAGCAGCTGGGACTGAGTGGGACAGAGCAAAAATCCACCACAGAAACCCCAGCACCAAACAGGACTGAAATGGGGGTGTTCYCTGCTGTTGGAGCACAGCAATTTCACCACTGGGGGCCTGCAAGTGTTTAATGAATCACTCAAACTCTCCAGAACTGCCGGGATTCCTGCACAGAATTCTGGAATTCTAYGGAATTCTGGCACTGACACCACTGAGACAGCACTGTCCACACTGGGACATGGCACAGTGGGATGGGAGGGACAATTCCCAGCCCCCACCAAGGGCCTGCAGGTCCCTGTAATGCCCTCAGCCCTGCACGAGGCTGGCAGGAGTGGACACGTCCCCACAGGGCTCAGGGCCTGGCACATCACTGCCGCACTGGGCTGTGGCCACCACTGGCCCTGGTACCTCCATGGCCCTGGCACTGTGTCCCTGCCATCCCTCCCATGGCCCTGGCACTGTGTGTCCCTGGTACTCCCCTGTCCTTGCCAGCGCCTGTCCCCCTCCATGGCATGACCAGTTTGAATGCAGCCCCTTCATGTGGCATTGGCCGCTGGCCCTGAGCCAGGGATGGGCAAAGCCAGCAGCACCAAGGTTGTGGTCAAAGGGCTGTTGTTGCTGTTCACTGCTCCCAAACAGA